GATTCTACTTGCTGAATTGTACGTAGTATAATAATAAGAAAAAATAAGATTGAAGTTACTTTTCAGATTATATTGAATGAAGATACTTTAGATGATCATTTTAACTATTTTCATATTTTTTTTTCTTTATTTTGTTAATAAATAAATTTTGTATATAATTTTGTTTAATAAATCAGCTAATATAGCCACTTCAGTCAGAACATCGTAAATTTCAGCCAATTTCAACGTTACGGGACGGACTCCTATTTAATACAAAACACGTTTAAAATACACAAGGTTGATCCATTTGGAAAAGAAAAAAAACTCCTCCCGTACGGTATAAAAAAACTAATAAACATACATTCCCGTGTATTTTACAAAAACTATAATCCTAAGATCAATTGAATCAAATAGGAATATTAAAATTAATATTTTTTATGATAAAAAAAATTAATATTTTTCTACACCTAACATTTTTCTACTACTTCGTATAAATTCATACACATAAACAACAACAATAACAACAACATTAAAAAAGAAAGTAATAAACGTAGTAGCCGCACAACTTTCCTGTACGCCATGCATCATTTTGATGAAAATGATGAGTTCAACTTGAATGTTATTTGATGGTCATATGGAGATGATGATGTTAGCTTAGTATCATTCTATCCTTATTATGCCATGTTTTTTTTTACATTATCTTGCATAATTATATCTTAGACTTAATTACTATTTATAATTTTGCCATCAACTTATGTGATTATGATTTATTCTTTAATGCAGTGATGATTTTTGCTACTTGAATATGTGTATAATTTTATTTCATCTTACTATATGCATTTTTTATGTATATATTTAAAGGTTCAAAAGAAAACGTGTTTTTTTTGTAATTGATATTGCATTATACACGTATACTGTATACGTTTTTATGCGTTTTTAAAAGTCAACTCTCCTTTTCAATGAATTTTGACCATTTTTAATCCATATTTCTGAATAACATGTATACATTGAATCTCTTTTAATTCTCGTAACATATTTAACTAACTAGGATATCCAGGGGTAGACATGGGTATTCGTTTGTTTACTTGGGACTTTCCATCCTTCATTTAGTTACAACTGACATTGATGATGATGATGATGATGATTATGATGATGATGAGTGGATGACGACTAGTGTTAAAATTTGAATGGAAATAACTTATATTGAATTATTGATGAGAAGATTATTATTCTATATGTGTTTGTCATTGTTTAATTCCAATGAGGTGTGTTGCACACTTGTGATGTTTTTAATTGGAGGTTTTTATTGTTAGATCAATTTAAATCAGACCAGACTTATCATATCAAACCAAGTTAGATCAAGTATGAACAAATTTCTTCACTTGTAAAATACACACAAATCAAATATCAACCAGACCAATTCAGGCTTAAGAATATCTCACCAGACTGGATCAGATCACATTAGGGAATAAAGAGCCCGATTAAAAAATGCTTAGAACCCTGGTAACTACTATCTTCACTTTATCAGTCTTATCAATCATTTTTTACTGAATAAGTAAATTTTTATTTGCAGCGCTGAATTATGTTATAATAATGAAAAATAAATAAGGTTGGAATTGCTTTTGAGATCCAATTAAATGAAATTGTGAAAAATGAGCGTTCAGGTTTCCGGCTAGGGGTGACAGTGGGTCGGATTTATACCGGGTGAAGGCTCATCCACGTCCACCCGTTAATTTTTCATACCCCACCCAGCCGTCCATCATCCATTAAAAATTACATCCACATCCAACCCACCCATCATGAGCGGGTTATCGGGTGGATCGAGTGAGTAACGGGTGAATATAAATGGTTTAACTTGAAAGACAAAATAAATAAATTATAAATAGAAATTATAATAATTAAAAGCCAAAATTTAAAAATTCATTGAATAATACTCTGTAACAACAAAATTTTGAGAAATTAAGTATGTTACAATCATTAAATCACTGCCAATAAAGAAAGAAGTTATTGTCAAACAAAATAGACATAAAAATTTTTCAAACTGTCAAATCCAACAGTTATTTTTGCAATTCAACTGCCACTTCTTGAAACTCTTCAATTGTCTTGATTTCCGCAATTCATATATATGTGTCTTCTTCATTAACAAATACGTATTATTACTCCGTAATATATTAATTTTACTAGTAATTATTATATAGTATATTATTAAATAGATATTATTAATTATTCTATATATTATTATATAGATATTATGCAGGTTAGCGGGTGGGTGGAGCGGGTGACGGGTCGGGTGATGGATTGGAATCATTGGATGAGTGTTCATCCACACCCGATCCAACCCGTCTTTCAATCCACGCGTCATCCATTTTTCATCCATACTTTTTCGGGTTTTCATCCATATATCCGGTTTAGGTTGGCCGAATATCCGCGGGTGCGGGTGATATTGTCAGCCCTATTTCCGGCCACACGCCTAGTAAATACAGTTTCATTATGACGAGTAAACTAAAATTTTAAAATTTAATGATAGTTATCTTTTTCATTGATATATTTAACCAAACGTTAGTCATAGTCATGCTCGTTACTAGTTAGACTAAAAATTACTCATTGTTACATTGGTGTAGTTTGGTACTATAAGAGCCTCTTTGATAATATTGATAATATTGGTAACATTAAAATTGAGTTGATTCTACTCAAATTTATGAAGTTCTGGCTGGATTGACTAATTGTGATGATTTATGAAAAAATTATATATGGAGTAAAAAACATTTTTATTAATAAAATAAATGAAAAATTATACTCCCTTCGTTTTCTAATACTTGACCCTCTTTACATTTTGGGATGTTCTCTAATAGTTGTCTCCCTTTCCATTTTTATTTTTTTTCAATAAATATACATATATACCATCATTCTCTTTCTTTACTTTTTCATTCTCTTTCCTACTTTTTCATTTAAACACAACTCACTACACCTTTTACACTACCCCTATTATTTTCCTTTTAATACTTGTGCCAAACCCTATAAGGTAGGGCTGCACAAGAATAACCCGTCCGACCCAACCCTACTCGACCCGGTTGAAGTTCATTTTACTATTATTGTGCTACAAACGTTTTCTTGGATAATTTCAATTTAAGACCAATGTGCTCTATCTAGGACTTTATGATATTAGAATTATAATTAAACATTTATCATTATGACTAGATGATTATTATATATTTATATTTCCTTCTAAATGAACTTCATTTACAGAAGAATGTTTTAATATTATTACCTAATGTTTTTGCTTATAAAAGATACGAGTACTTGTATGTTTGTGTTTTGGAAACAAGTTAATCGAGTTTTAAATCGATTACATTAATTTCCCACATGAAAGATGCAACCCGAAGTTATTCCCCCCCCCCCCCCCCCCAATACCCGACCCTAGCCGACCCATTCATGCATGGTTTACCAACTTATTTTGCGTACCCGAACAAATCGGGTAGGCCCAAAAAATATAGCAAACTCAACCTAACCCGCCCGATGTGCAGCTCTACTACAAGGACATCTAATAGAGAACGGAGGGAGTATGATAAAACAACTAAAATGATCCTCTACAGTAATTGCAGCCAATACCGTTTAAAAAAGAAATTTCATCCTTACTTTTTCTTATTATTGCACAGCTCAGCGCGCGAAATCAAAATTTTCATGTTTGGTGAAAAAGTTGGCTAATAAGTCTGATATATCGAAAACAAGGTCACCAAACGGGTTCTAAATGTATTCCGTATATGAAACGATTTTCAATTTCTAAGTAATGTTAAATTTAATACCATCTTTTAAGATATAGAATTGTGCTAGCAAATAAGATTTGTAAAAAAAGAAGAATGAGATTTAAATAAGGATTATTAGCTAAATATAGCTCCAACTATCATCAAATTCACATATTTATCTCATACTTTCACTTTTATTAAAAAAAAAAGACTCAATCTTCAACTTTTGGCACAATTACACTTTCAACGGATGAATTAGCAAAAATTAAGAAGAAAAACATATTCATATTTCATATCTTTTACTTGTTTCTGTTTCAAGTTTACAAATTTGTATTGCTTATATCTAATTGGCATTGATAAAAATGTGTAATATTTAAAAAAAAGTATACGTGTTGAAAAGGATGAAGTTTGAGTCTTTTTTTGTAAAAATAAAAGAATATGATAGATTTATGAATTTGATTATAGTTTGGGATAAAATAAGGTAATAATCCTTTAAATAATAAAAATTACCCCATACCATACTCCAAATAAGCCTCATCATCCTATAGCTGCCCCTTGAAATCTCTAATAAACACTTAGCCAAACCCTATATAAGGATTCCTCCCTCCACTTGGTGCATCCTCATTTTCACTTTCATCAGGACTACTGTCGTCTTCCTTACCTTGGGTTTCCAACCCCAAATATTTTAAAGATATTTTTATATATAGCAGAGACAAATGGAGGTCTATGGTAATGGTTTCTTGGAAGAATTGCTATCTTTGAGATCAAGTGATTCAGGAGAAGCCAGCTGTGTTACTCCTATGGAAATGAGCATGAACAGTGATGCTTTCAATTACAGCCCCAATGTGTGGGCCCCTTCCTCTATTGAGGAAAACACCATTCTTGATTGCAGTGGAGAAGACCAAATTATACCCATCCCCCCTACTACTTCTCCTTTTGATGGCTACATAAACTGTTGGCCATTTGACCATCAAATTCTCATAAACAACCCTTCCTTCTTCAATGAAGAGCTCTACACCCCACAGCTCACTGAGTTACCAGCCCCACCATTTCAGTACAGTAACAAAGAGGAGATCTTATCCTCTTCTTCTTCTTCACTTGTCTTTGACCATGAGGTAAATTCCTTTCACCATATCCAGTGTAAAGTGGAGCCCACAGTTTATAACCATCAGTACAGCAGTGGGGGTGGGGGTGAGCTATGGCAGAATGGGAGTTTCAGCATTGGGTCATTTTCCCCTGAGGATGATAAAAAGCTCAAAAACAAGAAACTGGGTGGACAACCTTCCAAGAATCTGATGGCTGAGAGGAGGAGAAGGAAGAGGCTCAATGACAGGCTCTCCATGCTTAGATCAATTGTCCCCAAGATTAGCAGGGTAATTATTTAATTTAATTTCTTTATTTAGTTCTAGGTTTCTAAATGAATGTACTATGATGTGTTTTCCTGCTTTGGTCATTTTAAGCACTTGACACCATTTTTACCACATGGTGAAAACATCACATCAAAAGAAAAACTGCATTCTGGTTTACTTTTAATCATCACTTTTATCCTAAACCAATTTGAGGTTATTGTCATTTTTGTTAATTACTCCATAGTAATTACAGAGTACTACGTATATATCTTTAATATGAAATCTCTTATTTGAATTTGATATGGTTTATAGCAAATGAAAATAAAAGTTATGTGATTGAAACTTGTTCCTAAATGAGATATACTACGGGTATAACATTAATGCGTTCTTTTGTTTCAAAATAAATATTTCCTTCTTCTAATAAAGTTTGACCAAATTAATTTTTCTTAGTCAAAGATAATAAATTTTGAAAAAAAATAACAAAGAATATTTTCACATTCTAAATAATTCATTGGTCAAACTTGATCATCATTAATCAACAAAAGTTAGACCAATTTTTAAGTGAGGAGAAGTATAATTTAGATAAATACAAAAAAGTAAGAGGATAAGGATAAAAACTAAGGTTTAAACAGTGCTCATATTCCACAGAAGGGTCAAATAATTCCTGATTTAGCCGGAGCGGAGAGTGGGGTTTACTAACTCTTACTCTTGGTCCTATTTTTACCTATTACAGTTATTGTTACCTAGTTTTTGTTTGCTTAGTTTTTTATTTAATATTATCTATATTTTCATGGAAAAATTGATTGTAATAATCTCAAACTATTGGCGGTCCGCTTATAATAATCCCAACTATCGATTATCTCAGAATAATCTCAATTTTAGTGACCTTACGCCAATAATGGTCCGACATGACCGGCTATAAATAATTTTCTATAGTTTCTAAAGTGGATGAGAAGAGATATAACAAGTAGTCCCTATAAATAATTCAACTTTTAATTTTTACGCTTTATTTCTATTTAAAATTCACTTGTTATAGCAGGTCATATCTGGTCATGGACCATTATTGGCGGAAGGTCACTAAAGTTGGGATTATTCTGAGATAATCGATAGTTGGGATTATTATAAGCGGACCGCCAATAGTTGGGATTATTACAATCAATTTTTCCTATTTTCATTTAATCAGACCAGTTTTCTAATGGATGTTGGGACACATAGAGTCAAAATGTGAACGGCACCTTTAATTATTGCAATAATATAAAGTAAAAAATCACATAAATTGAATTGAAATATGGAGTAATAATTTGAGTACTTTTTACTCCCTCCGGATCAGTTTATCTGTCTCAATTTTCTTTTTGGGATGTATCAAATAATTGTCCTATTTCCATTTTTGGAAAGAATTACATCCTACTTGGGGAGAACACAAGTGTTGTTGCATCATGCAAATAGTAATGTTGCACATGTGTTGTTGGCAGATGGACAGAACATCTATACTTGGGGACACAATTGATTACATGAAGGAGCTGCAAGAGAGAATAAAGCAATTGCAAGAAGAAATGGAGTTGGGGCCAGATCAGTTGAGGTTAATGAGCATCTTCAATGATGGGAAACCAGATGAAATTTCAGTCAAGAACTTCCCAAAGGTATGGTTTGATGACTTTCTTATTTTTGAGGGTTCAAATTGTAATTTGTGAATGTATTGGCAGTTTATTTTATTGTTAACTTTTCAGAATATCTTTTGTGGTTGTTGCAGGTTGATGTGGAAAGCAAAGAGAGTAGCAGTGATACCAGAGTTGAGATTAGCTGCTCAGCAAAGCCTGGCCTTCTGCTATCAACAGTGACCACACTTGAGGCTTTGGGGCTAGAGATTCAACAATGTGTTGTTAGTTGTTTCAATGATTTTGCAATGAGAGCTTCCTGCACTGAGGTAAATCTAACTACAGAAATATTTTCCTGTTATTTTGTTTAATTTAATCTCTTTTGAAAATAACAGTTTGTTTTCCTGTAATAGTAGGTACTTTTTCTGTAGTTTTTTTACTTGATAAACTTAAGAAACAATTCTGATTGAAAATGATATCTGAAACGAGTGAAAATTAAGTTTAAAAAATTATATATTTAGTCTTTTGTGAAATAATGATTAGTATGTGACTAATAGATAGTCGATAAATATATGACTTTTTATTACTTTATTGTTCTTTATGTAGCACAGATACTTCACTAGTATACCGTATCGCGTATCGGAAAAGTTCCCGTATAAAAAATTATGGGATACCTAGTATCGTACGTTTTCGAGACTTATCTGCAATTTATTAAAATTTTCCAACTTTTTTGATAATTATTTTCAAAATGCAGCAAGTATCATGCCAGATACACATATCAACTTTTTTAAAGAACGGTTCAAAAAAACTTTTTTATAAAGAAAACACCCAAAAATTTAATAATAAATGTTTTAAAAATACGGAGTATATATTAGAATTTTTAATTTTTTAATTATAATATTGTTTTTATCTTCATTGAAAATCTTCTACTTAAGAACTTTAAGTACTTGCACATTTAGAGCCCGTTTGGAGAACTCTGTTTTCGGCTTATCGGGCTTATCAGCCAGCTTTTTCACCAAACACGTAACTTTTACTTTCGCGCGCTGAATTGTGTAATAAGCCGAAAAAGTAAGGTTGGAGTTACTTTTCTGGCTGTATTGGCTGAAGTTACTGTAGAGGACCATTTTAGCTATTTTTACATATAATTTTTTCTTTAATTTATTAATAAAATATATTTTTAAAATATTTTTTTCTTAAATCAGCAGAATCAGCTAAAACAGCCACTCCAGCCAGAATATCATAAATTTCAGCAGAATCAGCCAAAATAGCCGATTTTGGTGCTACCAAACGGGCTCTTAATTTCAAAATTGTGGTTACTTAACTTATTTCTCGTTTCAAATTAACGACTTATTGACTATATTTATATTTCGAAATACACCAGTGTATGAGATAATGTATAAAATTATCTGTAACTATTTTGATAACGTGAAATGTTTCAATGCCATGAAAGGACATGAGAATCTTTTAATATACGTGTCCTACTTTTTTGTTGCATCCACGTATCCGTTTTCACATTTCTGCTCCCTTATCGGTGCTACATAGATTCTTTTCAATAGTTCTGTTCAACTTTGTACCTATAACTATTATATACCAAATTACCAATAGGTTATTTAGGGTATGTTTGACACAACTAGCTGAAAAGATACTTTTGTGAGTTTTTTTAATATCTGTTAGCTTTTAGTGATTGAAAAGATTTTAAAAGGAAAAGGTGGTAATTGTTTGGTAAAAAACTGACAGTTTGATTTAGTTCAGTTTGGTATACAAGCTGTTCAAACTATTAATTCTAAAAGGCACAGACTTTTCTCATATGCTACTGCTCGTAGCATCTCAAAAATTGTCATGCCAACATATATATGCTAGAAGCTTTTAGAGACTTTTTTAATAGTACATAAGCTTAAAACAGAGACTGATGCTCGCCAAACATGCACTTAGTCAATTTTTTTATACTAAGAAAGTGAGAATTGTGTGGTGAGGAGTTGTGCAGAGGAGAGAAAAATGTGTAAGAATTGCTGTAAACCACAAATTCATTGTTAAAAAGGGAAAGTGAAGTTCTTTTTGGAACGGACGAAAAGAGAAAGTTGGAAGTATTTTCAGGGACGGAGGAAGTAATGACTTTTATTTTGACACGATTTATGGAAACAATTATTTTTCCCAAGTATCCAACTCATAAAAAAGAATAAGTATAGTAGGATAATTAAGGGGATTATGAGTAGGTTAATGCGTCAATTTCAACATACTTTCAATAAAGTCAGCTATTCTTCTCATTTCGGCTTGAAAGGTGCCTACAAATTGATGGTTTACATTATCCTCCCGATCAAGTAATCATAGGATGAGAAAAATCATACTTTTGGCCTTTTGGTTATCTGCTTTTGAAATTTAGTCTTTCTATTTTCAAATTTGGTGCGTCCACTTTTAACTTTGTGAGAAAATTCTTTGACAATTAGGATTTAGGATAATAATGGAATAGATCCACAATAGACAGGTTTGAAACCGAATCGAATCAGAACTCGAATTGCCAAAATATTTAATATTATAGGAGGAGTAAATAATAACGGTACGTGAAAAAAAAATATAATGAACACGCCAATATGTTTCAGTGAACATATCAGCCATGCATATATAATGAATGGTTTAAATTATTCCATTCTAAAATTGAGAGAATCGTAATGCTTTATACAAAAATAATGTGCGCACCCTTGGTGGATCATAGGATTCTAAGACTTTATTTAATAGAAATAATTACCTGATTAAAATAAAGATAGTTTACAAAAATACTGGAGTTACAATGAATTCATAGTAATTTATGTTTAATTTTTAAACATGAGATATCATGATAATACATTGTGGTAACTATTAGTCGTATTTTTGTAAATGAGTTTTAATTTAGTAATATTTTTGAAGTAGAAAATCGAGTCTTCAAAAATAATATAACCATGAGTTTTAATAATACATTGAGGGACAACTAGGGATGGACAGGGTACGACGCTTCAACCCAGTCCAGAATCGAGTCTGGTACTGTTTGAGACCGAACTGACTCTGTTTAGAGCGGTTTCACTCCTAGGACCGTACATGTCGCCTTAGCTAGAACGGTTCATGGTCCTGCTTTCAGCCCCAACCCGGTTTTTTAGTCTTCGGTTCAGTTCAAAAACTAAAAAAAATCATGGGAACCGGGTCTGGGATTAGGACGGGACAGGCCGGATACCCGAGACCAGACCGTCCGAGTATCCGGAACTTGACCACGTCCAGAACAAAGCGAATCGGACCTAGGCCAAGCCAATTTTTTTTTTTGTACCGGACGATCTCGGCCTAGTACCTGAACCGGACCAATGATGGTCCATCCTTATGGACAACGTTTCGCAAACGGCCATGAAAAACGGCCAACGTACGGTGGTCCATTCTTATGGTCTTCGGGAGTGTTTGCAACTGCTTAAAAAAAAGCACTTCTCAGCTTTTGGCTTTAAAAAGCACTTATTTACCAAACACTACCAATTTTTACTTTTTCTCGGCTTGCGTGTGAAAAGTGCTTTTCCCTTTTCTATTACACAAAAAACACTTATTTTACCAAACACTACCAACTTTTACTTTTCAAAATCACTTTTTTCTCAAACACTATCAACTTTTACTACCAATCACTTTTTCATTACTTCTCCAAAAGTGCTTTTTTTTAAGCAGAAGCAGTTGCAAACACTCCCTTCATAATTGAGGAAGCAAGAACATTTCCTTTCTTAAACCAAACAAAAAATGTATGTTTTCCCTGAAAAGGTTGTGCGTCTTTCATTGAATAGTTGTGGTGTGTCAAAGAGAATTAATACAAACTCTTGAGTCTTGTCTTGTCCAATTTCGCGTTTCCTTTTTTTCTTTTTTCAATATTCTGTTGCATTCTTTGATTTCAGATACTACTTATTGTGTTGGAATATTGACTTTTCCCCCAAATGTTTATGATGATGATAGGAATTGAGGAAAAGTGAAGCTTTGAGCGCCGAAGATGTAAAGCAAGCTTTGTTCAGAAATGGTGAATATGGAGGGCGGCGTCTTCATTAATAAAAAAAACAAGTTGAAAACTTTAATTTGGATGATTTATTATGTTTCAGATTAGGATGTATTTAGTATTTACTGCTCGAATTTAGTGTTTGCTTTTTAATTAATAAAAAAAGCAAGTTGAAAACTTGGCAAATTTCTAATTTTGTGTATGTTTAATCCTATATTTAGCACATTTCTAATTTTGTTTTGGTTTGATTTGCTTAAAATGTCACATCATTTTTTGGTCAATTAGGTTGACCAAACTATAAGTTCTATAAAAAATGATGACTTAATTATTAGAACTATTAAATTTTATAAAAAATATCCTCATCAAAGTCATCATTGTGTTAATATTTCTTTTGGGGAAGATAATAACAACAATAATAATAACAAAATAGATTCAATACCAGTTTAATTTAATCGCTCATATTTTTATGCCTATGATATGTAATAATCCATATTTTAGAAGTTGTATAAAAAATCAATCATCTAATAATTTGGTCCAATATTAATCTTCATTGGGTTCAAGGTCGTTATTTTCTTCTTCATCCTCCATGTCCCGATTCTCTAAATAGATCTTCAGAAGTCAGATTTTCAGAAGTCAGATTTGTTCAGAAGTCATATCAATCATCTAGATTTTCAGATGTTCAGGGTCGTTATTTTCTTCTCCAAATAGATCTTTGGAGATTCTCTACTTGTTCTTCCTCTTCCACTTCTAGGTCACATTCTCCATTCTGCTTTAACTCTTTGTATTTGTGCATGTCCCAGTGGCTTGTTGTGCTAACTGTTGATCCTACTTGTTCCCAAGTCAGGTCATCACCTTGATTTACAAGATCATGAAGTGTTTCATCACCTCGAACAACTCGGACATCATTTTCATCAACTTCCCTTAAGAATATAGGATCCCAAGTCTTATTGTCAATGTTGTGCTTTCTCTCAAGAAATTGTTGCTGCAACTTTTTGTTATACTAGATGTAGATAAGATCATTTAACTTTGACCGCATCAAACAATTTCTCTTCTTTCAATGTATCTAAAATATTACACATGAAAAAACACATCAAGCATAATACTTATGGGCTAATGTAGATGCATGATGATGTGAATTTCCTATTATGTATGTTTGTATTTTTAACTAGTTTTATTAGTTCTAGTTGTGGAAATTACACACTTTTAGTGTAATACTTTATTTTCTTTAATTATTTGTAATTTATTTAGATTAGGATTATTCTGAGCTTAGGTCAGGTCTAAATCATCCCAAGAATCAAAGGATGGATCCTAAAGACCAAAGAATGTGCAAAAAGGAGAAGATGAAATGAATATTTTGAAATTTGTTCAATACTCGGTCGAGTATTGCCAATACTCGGTCGAGTATTGACCGGATACGCTGGTCAAAATCAAATCCGGGAGCAAAAGAACATGGCTGAATATTTGATGAAAATCATGTCTCATACTCGGTCCAGTATTGGCAATACTCGGTCGAGTATGCCTATTTGTCACAATTTCCTGGAAACTACCTCCAGTACTGGATCCAGTATCCCATATACTGGATCGAGTACAGCACCCTGTCACCTCCATTTTGCTATAAATACACCTTTTTCCTTCACATTAAAATCACCATTTCACATATACTCTTAAGCTCAGTTTAGATTAATATTTTCTTTTTATTTTTTATCATGTTTAGTCTCCAAATGAGGAGCTAAACTCTTCCATCTTGGTTTTGCTACTTTGAAGCTTAATAGATTGTAAGTTGTGAGTTATTTTCTTTAATCTTCTTCCTTGAATATTAATCTTCTTCTTAATACTATCTCTTTATTAATGTTGGGAAGTGTTGACAATTAGTTAACATCTCGACATTAGTTATAATATTATTTATTTTCTTCCTCTATATAAATGTTGGGAGTGTTGCTAATATGACAATTAGTTAACATCTTGGCATTAATTATAGTAGGATTTATCTTCTTTAATATTCTTCCTTGAATATTAATTAATTCCTATTCATATTTCATATTAATATTTTGAGCATTACTTAAAGGATCAAATAGTTTTGTTTCATATATTAATTATCACTAGAATCGATCGACGAATACGCTTGTTAATCGTTCGGTCTTTTCACGGAAGTAAACTTTGATTATTAATGCATGCGTCTCATGGTTAATAATCTATGGGAAATTAATTATTATATTGATTAAATCAATAAACCGCTTGTGTTGAGGTTATCAGTCTCAATCGTTTTCATATTAAGTTTATTGCTACTATCGGGTTAATATACGGCACGTGTTCTATATTGACTCGGTAGTAAGTTTTATTAATGAATGTGTCTCGTTATTAATAACTTCCCTCGATGAATTCGATATACTCCTCGATTGAGTATTTGAGAGGAAGATAGTTAAAGATATAACCGGGATCGACGAACATTTCATTAAGTGGATAAAAGCAAAACCAAGTCTCAATCTCAATTAATTAAACTCATATAAGTCATTCATCTTCGTATTTAATTAATTTAAATCAAACAAACTCAAAATCCCCCTTGTTACTAGTTATATAAAAGAGAAATATTTCTTTCCCCATGGATACGAACCTTACTACGCTATATTACGTATAAGTGTTGTATTGATAATTATTTTGACGCACTTCACGACAAAGTGCTTGTCAAATTTGGCGTCGTTGCCGGGGAAAGGCAATTATTTTTCTTTTTATTTTATTTCAAGAAAAAAATATATAAACAAATAAAAGTATAAAAAAAATCTATTTTCTGAGCTTACATGAGTATACTGGATACCAACACATCATCCCTAGAGAGTCAAATTTATGTCTTGGCTTCTCTAATAAAGGAGTTTATCTTATGCTCAAAAGCTCAAGATGCCAAGACCTGCACATTTGCATGTCTGGCAAGCATCTTACGGATTTTTGCCCAAAGTTCCAAGAAGAATACCTTGAACAAATCAATGATGTTGGTTTTCAAAGGAAAATACCTCACATGAGGTGTGATCCATTCTCCAACATGTCTACGGAGGACATGGTTCGGGCTCTTACTACCAACATGACTACCATGCAAAATAACATGGTGCAATTCCAAAATGAGACCAAGTCTAGCATTTTAAACTTGGAAAGTCAAGTGAGTCAAATAGCCGGAGCCGTGAGTAGGCTTGAAGCAAGGGATTCAGGAGAACTTCCCTCTCAAATAGAATGTGATCCTAAACAGCAAACTTTTGCAACCACATTGACAAATGAGAAGAAATTGCAAAAGGAGACTCAAAATTCAAAAAAAGAAGCCAAAGACACGGAGCTCCAACTGGTTAAGGAAAAGCATGAGCCGAGTTCCAAATTCAAATTTATATCCTTGTCGTCCTTTGAGGTACCCCCACCATTTCTTGAAGTTTTGAGGGAAAGTCATAAAATTGAAAAAGACAATGACATCTTTGAAATCTTTAGCAAAAGTGAGGGATCAAAACCTTTTCCATTGACCATGCTAAATGACAATTTTTTCCCCTCAATCGCACAACATGAAACAATGGAAATCTGGATCTTTGATCCTGGAAAGATTTTCAAAGTGAATGGTTGGTAAATTAAACATTTCTATGAAAGTCCTACTGTCACGCCCCGGACCTATCCGGACACGTCAACAATCCGCCGTACAGTACGAATAGTCAACCGCAGTCCAACACATCAATACTATACAAGGCGTCTGGAATATCATTCACACATAGTACATCCATAAATAATAAACATAATGTAAAATATTCATTTAAAAACAGCGGAAGTAATATTTCAAGTGTTCAAGCCACACTTGGCAAACATGGGCATACAAGCCCCTGAAATGTATATTCAGAAAATAATATCCATGAGCATTATTCATATTGTTTTTCCAAAACAAGAACGGGAGAAGCACGAACCAAGTCTTTGTTCCTGAATCTTCCCGAACACACCAGCCGGTGGTAGCAACCTTCAAGTTCTACCTGAAACTATGAGGTGGCCTCCCCCGTGAAGGGGAGGTCAGTACTTGGAAGCATTTGACAATTACAATGACAACTATACTAAGTATAATCAAAGTTTCAATTTCCAAGACCCTCAGACTAGGGTGTTATCATTTCATAATTAACTTTATTCGTTTAGTGTCAATTCATCGTTACTTACCACGGTCTAGAGCCCAGCTCAATAATCACCGTTACCTACTACGGTCTAGAGCCCAGCTCAATAATCACCGTTATCTACATCGGTCTAGAGCCCAGCTCAATAATCACCGATAACTACTACGGTCTAGAGCCCAGCTCAATAATCACCGTTATCTACGTCGGTCTAGAGCCCAGCTCAATAATCACCGATAACTACTACGGTCTAGAGCCCAGCTCAATAATCACCGTTATCTACATCGGTCTAGAGCCCAGCTCAATAATCACCGATACTTTACAATTCAATATCTTAGGATCCATTCATCCATTATTCAACTACAATTTCAACTAATATCTCAATACTAGTCATTTACTCATTTCAATATAATTCTTCATTCATGTGTAATTTGGCCTTAATATCAAAATATCACTTTTATACTTTCATGGCTTCTTCTCATGAAATAAAAGTGCATACTTATCATAAATGGGATTCATGGTTGATTCAACTATCATGCCATCATATTCATAACATATACACATACACAATTTATTCTTAAATTTGTAAATTATGCAAACTATACTTATAATCAATAGTAATTTCATTTAGGCATTATTAATCACTAATAATCCACGCAAATCACATTTTGTATTCATTTAGGAAATCTCATTAAATTAACCCAAAGATTATAAGCAACATAGTCGGTCATCCTCACCTTAAGTGAGCTTACGCGCGTTCTACGCTCCCCGATTGAACTTTGACTAATTCCGGCGAACTTTGACCAACTCTGGCGAACTTTGACCAACTTCGGCGAAGCTCGAAAATACTCTAATCAAGTTCCTAACAAGGTTTTAACATCATAAAACCTTAATCAATACACATAACCTCTAAAAGGTTATTTTCGGTGAACCGGTCGTTTTGCCTTCTAAGTCCATTCTTGGACATAGAACCACTTTCCAACCCATTATATCACACTCATATCATGTAGAACAATCCTAAGGATTCTTCATATGATGGAAGGAAAAATAAAGAAAAAGTTATGATAAGGTTATTACCTTAATTTTCACACTTTTAGCACCTTAATTCCTTTTCGTGAGATCCTTTCTTGTTGAGCTCTCTTC